TGAATATACACCCTAGACTAATGCTTTTGCACGGTTTTGCACGGTTTGCCCATGCCAGCCCCGCTCATTTGATTGGTTCGCCCACCCTAACCCAAAAAGGAGCTGAGCAGGGTCCGGAATTTCCCCCCAGCCCGCGCAATGTCTCAAAACCTTTTTTTTCCCCGAAAAGGGGCTTGCTCAGAATCAGGCAATTCCGCCTGAATGTGATCAAACTGTTTTTTCCCCGAAAAGGGGTTTTTCTAGAACGAGAAGGCCTGGTAGCGCCTACAAAATCAGGAGGCGCAGGCGCAAGAGTGCCACACGCTGCCCTGGGCAAGAACAAACCGAAGCAGGACGTACCTACTAAGCCGGCTGCTCCAAAGCAAGTCAAAGCCGCCCCCGGTTGAGAGCCGCAGAGGCACCGGCAAAGGCAAGCTTACAAGAGAGCAGCAGCGCGTGCGCATGCTGGAGAGGCAGTCACTTATGACCGGTTGACAACAGGCGCAAGCGTACTAGCAAAGCATGATGTCTATTGAGCCCCGAACAAGGTGGTTCCGCAAGACGTACCCCAGTTACAACTTGCAGAAGCGCTACCGAGCGGGCCTTCAAACAACTGGCTAGGCAAGCGCAGCAGGCGCAGGGGGGCAGCGGCACCTGGACGACGTAAGCCGGCTGACGGAGGCCGTACCGCAGTACTCCAGCTGCGCTACGCGCGCGCCGAGTGCAGGGGCGGGCGAAGTTGCGCAACAGTAAATGCTGGCGCACGGCTTCAACCAGCGCCCGCGCTTTGAGCAGGTGGTAGGCTACCTTGAGCGGAATGAGCCGCTGCCCCGGACCAGCCGGACAGGCCACTCGTTCGTCACAAGCCACTTCTACTTGTACAGTCCAGCGAGGACCCCAACCCTTGGCCCTGCAGCACACGCCCCTGGCAATTTCCAGGACGGCTTCCGCACTTCCGCAGAGGCCACAGACGGCGGCGCGGAGGTACGGGCTGCTTTGTTAGAATGACCTGGGGACCCCGAGTACGTGCGCAATCCCGTCCGGGCCAGACCGCAGATCATAGGTCGGCCCAGTGGCGTGGAGCGCCTTCTGGAAGGCGGGGCAGCGCGCGCAGGAGGTGGAGCGGTGAGAAGACGGCCGAGGAGCAGCAGCCCGCGCCCCGCGGGCAAGGTGCTGGAACGCTGGCTGGCGCGGCGGGAGTTGTGGCCTGGGCATTTGCCAGGAAGTTGTCCAGCTGCCTCAGCCGCCGGCCTGCCGCGTTGGAGCGTTTTAGGACCAAAAACCAAATAATTAGGGGACTATAAGCAGCCTTTCCTTACTACTAACGCCATTGCCGTGGTGGACCGGGGCATCCAGACGCTGAAGAAGGACCACAAGGGTGGCGCGCAAGGGCGGGCAGTGGAGCACCACTTTGAGCAGGCCGGCCGACAACGCGCGGCCCCACAAGACGGTGCACGGCGCGCCCGAGAACGTGGAGAAGCAGCCGGCACAGAGTTCAGGGTCCTCCAAGACAACGCCAAGAAGTTCCAGCACAACAAGGACCCGACCGGCGCGTGAAGGCGGTAGAGGCTGCCGGGGCAGCGGCAAAACAGCCAAATTTCACTCAAAAAACGCTTGTCACCAGCGATGTCACCGCTTCGTCACCGCTCCGTTTTTGGAGCAAAAAGCGCTGAAAACGGCGAACTCCGAAAAGTGCGTTTTTCGTGTCCGGCGTCAAATGTGCTGCCTGGGCCTCCAAATTCGCTCGTTTTCCGCCGAAAACCGGCTCCAGGTGTTCGCCGTGCTCCGAAATCCGTTTTCTACCCCGAATTCCAGCCCGCTGAGCTTGTCACCGCCGATGTCACCGGTCTCTAACACGTCAGCCTGCCGAGGCACACCACCTCTGTCGCCGGTGTCTAACACGACAGCCTGCCGAGGTGCTCCCACATAACACGTCAGCCAGCCGAGGTTCTCCCACATGACACGGCAGCCCGCTGAACTTGTCACCGCCGATGTCACCGGTCTCTAACACCGGTCTCTAACACGTCAGCCCGCCGAGGTACCGGGGAGGAATCGAACCTCCGAAACGTCGCTCCGGAGACCAACGCCTAAGCCATCTCACCATCGGCTCTCGTCACCGTCCCAAAACGGCGCTTTTTGGCCCAAACGGCGCTTTATGCCCAAAACGGCGCTTTATGGCCCAAAAACGCTCTCACCGCGATGTCACCGCTTCGTCACCGCTCTCTTTGGGGCCGAGAAGTGCGCAAAAAGGCTTGGAAAAGCGAAACCAGCTCCGCGGCTTCGGTCTAAGAGCCAAAATTTTCTTCAGCGAAATCGGAAATCCGACCTCGCTCCACACCGAAGTTGGTGCGGGCCTGGTGCGGGCCTGGTGCGGGCCTGGTGCGGGCCTGGTGCCTTTCAGTCAATCCTGTTGTCAGCGCAGGATTGCTTCATTCAATCCTGTCGCCACAGCAGAATTGCCCCGGTGCACTACCAGCAGCTCTGGCTTGGAGCCGTTCTTGCCAGAGCACAGCCTTGTGATGGAGCCGGCCCTGCTGTAGAGCTCCCACAGGCTTCAGGCACGTCGTTTGTGCTCAGGACGAAGGGCAGGCCGCTTGCGAAGAGCTCCGAGTGGAAGGCCAGGTCATGCCCCCGCCTCCTCGTGCCATAGTAGTTCATGCTGCGGCCTGGGAAGATGTAGGGCGGATCGGCATATATGGCCTGTCGGGGTGCCTGGCGGGGCAGAGCGCGTAGATAGGCCAGTGCGTCCTGGCATCGCACGGTCACATTGCGCGGTGGCCGCTGCATACGCCGCACGCTGCTCAGCCCCAGCGGGCGCTGCTGTATGAAGGAGCCCCACTTTCCCGAGAAGCTGTTGCGCAGCAGGACGTATGAGCAGGCAGCCCGGCGCCCGGCGCGGCCTCTCTGAGTGCCCGGCAGGAGGTGACTGAAGTAGAAGCGCCTGTCTACTTTGCGCCCCGCCAGGCGCAGCAAGGAGCGCAGGAAGACCAGGTCTTGCCTCAAGTAGCAGCGGTGCAGGTTTGCGACGGGCTCGAAGGCGTCGACGCCGCGCACCTTCAGGGCCGGACGCCGGGTTGCGAGGTAGTACTCCAGCTTTCCAGAGCCGAAGAAGGGAGAGTGAAGCACAGCGACGTCCCCCAGCAGCCGGTCCACGTGTGGAGCCAACCACGATTTGCTTCCCATGTACTTCAGCTGCATGCCAGCCTTTAGATTTTTCTCCTGTTTGAGCCAAAGTCTTTTTTCTTAGGGGGAGAAACAAACACGAACACAACTCGCACGCCCACCAGTATCGTTGATGTGCAAAATCATATACAAATATAATTCAGGTATATCATTAAATTCAATGATATCAGGCTCACTCAATATTGACGCACACCTCTTTTGGCTGCAGCTCACGGCCAGGTCAAGGGGAATATATATGTTGGGCGTCGTTCAGGAACACCCACAAGAGAATCACCGGTTGACCATTTCCAGAGTCATGGACTGGTCGTGACTCATCCAAGAGAATCACCGGTTGACCATTTCCAGAGTCATGGACTGGTCGTGATTCATCCCCCCAGTTCACCCTTGGGTCAAAAAGAGAGGGCTCACAGGCCCAGTCAGGGCGGGTTGGGCGGGAAAAACAAAAACTATTGCTGCGAGCGACACCCTCCCACCGCACCCTCTTGAGTAAAGCGGTGGCAACAAAGAGTATGAACAAGGTGTCGAGACACATGCAAGTCAAGGCATCTCAAAAGGACAGACACGGTTTCAGACATGGCTGTTCCAAACAAAAAAAACTGAAACCAAATGGTTCGAAAACTGGTTCGGGTGCAAAACTGTGCCTGTTGTTGTCCACGAAGGCTTCCCCCACCTAAAAAGACCCGGTGAAAGGGCTCACCGTGTTTGGCTTCATTCAGAGAGAAGGTTTTGTCCACAAGTGGAAATGTCCTTCTCCTGTTTGAGCCAAAGTCTTTTTTCTTAGGGGGAGAAACAAACACGAACACAACTCGCACGCCCACCAGTATCGTTGATGTGCAAAATCATATACAAATATAATTCAGGTATATCATTAAATTCAATGATATCAGGCTCACTCAATATTGACGCACACCTCTTTTGGCTGCAGCTCACGGCCAGGTCAAGGGGAATATATATGTTGGGTGTCGTTCGAACACCCACAAGAGAATCACCGGTTGACCATTTCCAGAGTCATGGACTGGTCGTGATTCATCCCCCTTTTACCCGACCAGTGTCAGCCCGGTGATACCATATCGAGGAGCTCCGACGGGAAAGGAAATTCACAACAAGTTGCGTTCCGAAAAAGAGGCATCACTTCGCGAGATCTCTGACGCGAGGGTGCATCCGCCACGTTTGAGGATGAAGGCACCCGTTCAATCCAACTGTGAGTGGGTAAGTCGACGTCCACCAGATAAAAGGCCTTAAAGGCGCTGCATTGATTTGCTGGCGCTCAATCCTTTGATCAAACCAAACCTAGCCGCCTCGTTGTCCACCCAAAAGATTGAACGTCGGGCGTGCAAAAGTTCACGAGTCGTCCAGCGAATCAAAACGAGGGTGAACAGCTCGATCTGACAGATAAGCTGGTTGCCAACCTCAACTAGCCAGAAGTCCAACAGCGATTGGGGGACCAGTCCAGAGAACACCCAAGACGAGCCATCCCGAGTATCATGAATGCACGCGCCAATACCTGCTACCCCTTGCTCCCAAGAACCATCAGTGAAGACAAGGATTGGTTCAACTGCACTGCCAGAAACAAGTCGCCGAGGCTTGCTTGTTTTCAAAAGGTCAACTGCCTGCTCACAAAAGGCTCGGATAAGAAGCGATTTGTTACGCGAAGGGAGCCTGCCCAAAGCTAGAGCTTCTGCAGATAACTGATGCAAGGCTTTCCCCAAGTAAAAGCCGATGGAATATCTGAGCAGGCCATGCAGCACTTGTGATTCACGCAGAGTCAAGTTCCCGCTCGCATGATGAGCTTCCAGGTGCTCAACCAAACGCCGTATGCGGCCTGCTTTGTTTCCCACCGTTATGACTCCTGCCGCAGTCTCGTTCAGGTCCAAGGTTGCTCCAAGCACATCGAAGGTGTAACGGAACGGAAGGCCCTTGGGCCCTGTGCGGGCGTGACGCCACCCCAACAGGTCCAAGAGAAAGCTAGCCGCGGCATCTGCGTCCTCAGCAGTTTCTTCCGGTGAGAACATTGGAAAATCATCGTAGAAGAAGGACGTGGGGATGAGGCATCTTATTGAGGAGGTACCAGAGGCTTCTGCTCACCCGATTAAACGAGTACACCGCAGCCGTGGATCCAAACATAAGGGCGTTGGAAATATAGAATTTCGCCCGCCCCGAATTGTCATGGAAAAAGATGACAGCCAGGCCTCGATGGGCGGGTTTTACCGCAAGTTGCTTGTAGGCTTTGGAAAGGTCAAGGCATTTCCCCAACCAGCGCCCAGAACCGTGGGATTGGCAACCCGACTTGACAGCCTCTGCGATCTTGAGGGCCATCCCTGCTACATAGTCGACATCCTGAAGCTTCAAATAGAAGGTTGAGGTATATGCAAAATTCAACTGCGCCTCCAAGCAATCGTCGATTGGTCTAAGCTTCATCTCGGATCCCTGGACCAAAACAAAGCGTCGGATCACCGCCCAGTCCGAGTGGCCCAGATGGTCTGTGACTTCCTGTTCGGAGTCGAAGGGCCCTTCCAGGAAAGACATGTCAACCTCCTCCTTGGTGGCGTCTTCAAGGTGTCGCACATGCTCAGGCTCGATTGAGTTCACTTTCCTACCCAGAATTGCTTTCCTTCTCCACCTTGCCGAAGTTCTAAGATCTTCTTCTGTCAAAGTGGCCGGCACTACTTTGGCTGGGTAGCATGGGGGACAATCAGGCATGCCTACCAAGGGAACTCCATTGACCATATGATGAAAAATTCCCATGTCGTCAAAACCATATTGCAGAAGCAGGGATTTCCAGAGAAGAAGCTTTTTGCCTGCGAGAACCTTCCGCACAGATGGCTGCATGGCACTGTGAAGGGCGCTCTCGTCATCCGCTTGCCGCAAAAGCAAAAGTCGTGCCTGCAACAAACGCTTCTTCCGCTCCAGTTTCAAAAGCTGAGGGCTCATCCGAAAAACGTGGTCCAGAGCAAACCGGGTAGGCTCCTCCAAGTGGTTGATGGAATCCATCGGGTGGGCAAGTTTCTTGGCCTTCTCCAAAAATTGGCTTGGTGTGTGATAGAAACCAACTTTGACCTTGTCAGCCAGCAAATGGTCTTCATGGTTGCTGGCTGGGTGGTCCCGAGGCTCCTCTGAGATACTGCCCCCTAAATGAGGAGCCATGAGCTTGGCCCCTGCAGGGATTGGTTCAGTTGCCAGCTGCGTAGCAAAACGCAAAAACTCTGAAATCAAAGGCAGATGTTTACGCGTCTGGCTGCCCTGCGCGGCCGTGGCCAGGTCGCACAGCCAGCCTTGGGCGCGGACTGAGAACCAATTGCTGCTGTTGTGCCACATGGACCAGGCATGCGGCGGCTCTTTGCGCTAAAAGGCGCGGGTAAGCCGCTTCAAGCGAGGTGGCAAACGTCCACTGACTGTTGCGCAAACTCACATTGAAAGGTTCATGGGGATGGTCATAAACACAAGTGGCCTGAAGCGGGTTGAAAACATCCTTGGTTGAAAGCCAGCCTGTCTGTTTTCGCCGTGTTGAGCCATGGCAACATGAATGAAAAGAGACCAAATGCAAAGCATTGTAGGCTGTGGCCGCCAAAGAGTCGTCACGGCCTCGGACGATGGCCACCATAGGCGTCCACAACCAGCTGCGCAAAGGATTCTCAATGCTGATAACGATTTGGGCTCGATGGCAGAAAACCAAAATGTCAACAACCAGCTCGTAAAGGACGTTTGCAGCATCAACTTTGGCCTGATTGTAATCTGAAAAGTTGGGTAAACCAAGAGGGTGTTGAGCGGACCTCAAAGGCGGGGGTTGTGGCACTCCCTGGGCTCGCAAGGACGAGGATATTGGGCGCTCTCTTGCCGTGCCACAAGGGGCACCCAAATGTACTGCAAAAAGGTGGGGTAGAGATAGCAACTCCCACAGGATTTTCTGCCCGCCTTCGGAGGCCAGATCCAAAAGGAGAAGAGGGACAACAGGGCGATTCATCTCATGATCAATGCTAATAACTGCAAACCCAGCCTCAAGCATTGCCCGAGAAAAAGTGCCCCCGCCGGAAAATACCTCAATAAAGAGGGGCTGCTGTGTGCTGGAAGCTGCACACAGTGAAACTGATTGCGCTGACTGTCAGTCTGAGTGAGTGCATTGGTGGTGCGGTCGCAACCTGAAACAGCCAGCCTGATAACATTTGTGAAATCCTCGAGCACAGCGCTTTCCGGCCGGGCCCTTAAATTTGCACTTGCCTGTTTGAAATGCAAAGCACAAGGGTTTTCCTTCCGAATCATGGGACACGCAACCATCAGGTAATTCAAGACGATTCGACCCCTTACCAGAGGCAGCGCCTTTGTTTCCCTTGAACTGGGTTTTTGGTTGCTTTGCAGGGCGTTCAGCAACTGACTGAGGGGCGGGCGCCAAATACTGCAAAACATCTGGCGCTCGTTGAAGTTCGCGAATGGCCTCATCCAGTGGCCGAGGGGCCGGTGGTGTTGTCTGCAATTTGCCCATAGTCTTGTGTGAGGCCATGATGAACATCTGCTTGTCACATTCAATAAGTTGCTGCAAGGTAACCTTGCTGAATCCTCTGGGCTGATCCTTCACCAGCTGCAAAAACAGGTACTGAACCCAGCTCTCAATCACTTGAAAGGAAGCCAAATTCGCTAGGTCCATTGCAAGGCTGCGTCTCTGCCAGGCCGATTTGAGCTTGATCTCCGTGTTGGCCTCGCAAAATGATTCACCAGTTTTGGAGCTGAGCTTAAGGTGACCAGAAGAATCCGTAGCAATTGACGAATCCTTCCTGACCGATTGGACTTCTTGTGACCGACTACAGCATTGCTCTGCTTTGACGTAAACCAAAATGCCCGACTCATACATCTCCACAAAGGAGTCCACCAGACTATTCGCAGGTATAGTGTCTGGTGTGAAAATCACACCACCAAGGCGCTTCTCCTGATCTGCCTGCCGGGCAACTCTCTCAGCGGTTGGCAATTTCTTGACAGCTGCAGAAACGTCAGGTGTAGCCTCGACCCGAGATCGCAAATCTGAAAGAGCCAGAGTGTGCGATTCGAAAAATAGCCTTCGCATCGTTGCCATTTGCTGATCAGTCGGGGCAGCGCCACACAATCGAGTCACCAGCACCCGAAAAGGGGCCTCATCTGCCAGCTGTGGATTGTACTGAGTTGAGAAAGCAAGGCGCCCAAAGGTTGCAAGGCCCTGCGCCTTAAGCGCATCGAGCAGTGCAGTCTCAACACCGATCTGGGCGGCCCGCTCCAAAAAGGCTGCCTCTGAGTCAAGTGTAGCCGCGGCCATGCCGTAGAAACTACCACAAACGAAAGTCTGAAACCTAGCCACGGTGAAATTCCCCAAGTTGATGGGACACACAACAGCGCAGGTCTGCCAGATTCTGCTTTGCCCCACCTGCTCGGATGCAGTTTGGGCCACGCAGGGGCAGGAAGCAACAAACATGTGGACAACTTGACACGCACCGCGAAATGACAAAGGTCAATCACGCATGTTGTAAGCACTCACAGAGTCAGCCCACCTTTTCCTGGCATCGCAACGGTGCCATGGTTGGACAGGTGGGCCTGCCAACGAGGCGGTCGCGCGCCTCTTTTAAAGAGCAGCTCTGATGCTGCGCAGTTTACTAGCGGGTCGGCTTCCGCTTCTGAAGTGCTCGGTTGCACTGCATGCACTCTTCAAGGTCAATGCTGCCGGCAACAACATCATTGAAAGTGCAAAACTTAACCGAGGGGTTCCTGCCGCAAATTGAAAATCCATCCTCGTTCACAACATGCGTCACACCAGAAATGGTGTGGACAATCAGCACATCACTGGAGAGTCCGGGAAAAAGGGTTCGTTCCTCCAGTTGATCATCGGCTGGACTTGCTAGGGCATCTTCATCAGCCGGAATGTCAGCCTCGGAATCAATACTTGACTCAGAAGACGAGTCCTTGCCATCCTGAGCCGCAGGTTCCTGAACAGCGTCGGTATGCTTAGAAGGTGGTCCGCAAGCAGATGATTGCGCCGCCTGCAACACGCGGTCGACCGCAGGGAGGTCAGGATTGAAACTGCCCGCCCTGATTTTTGCAAACATAGCCAGGACTTTCCCATAAAGGGCAGTGTAGGCCTCGCGCGAGTAAGTCAGGACGGACTTCATACCAGGTTTGACGTGGTGGCCCATCAGCCTCCGCTCGCCAGGCGAGAATACCACATCAGTCGACCTTCCAGCCCACGTCAGCAAAGTTGGTTTGCAGCTGTGGGTAGCATAGCTATGAAGGCTCTCTGTCGGAACATCGATAGTTGACAAAAACTCGCGCATCCAGCAGGTAGCCTCTGGGGCACTCATGGGGTCAGTGATCCATTCGCCACGGCTCTCCGAGAAGCTTGGCAGAAATTCCGGATAACGATCAAGCCGTTCTGCGGCCCTGGCATCAATCCAGCAAGTAGCCCAATCCTCACCACTCACACCTGAACCCAGCGTCACATAAGGTAAGGAGCGCGTTTGCGCCTCCGCCGTTTGTGTGGTCTTTGACTTAAGTGCAACAGCATGGACAAGGGTCTCTGATTGGCCGCGTTCCAAATTGATGGATCTTAACCTCAAAGAGTCTTTCCATCGGCAACAAGCATGCACACAAAACAGCAGTTGGCCCAAAATACAAGCTTCGCGAGACGGCAGGTGTTTGATCAAATGCTCCAGCTTCCTGACATGAGACACTAAGAGGGGTTGCTTCTGTTCCAGTGGGTCCTTGGTGAGATACATGTCCCTGGCCACTCCTTTGCATCGACCAGAAACAACAGTCCTCAAGTCCAAGGAAATAAACTTGGCAGCGCCTTCCAGGAAAAACAACGCTTCAATGAGATGTTGTGCAGAGGTAGCACCTAAACCCCACGCACGCATGTCACAGAGGTGTTCGTAGAGTTGGTCCTCGGTGAATCTCAGGGGCTTCCAGCTCTTCAGGCGGAATGCTTGAGCAAATCGATGAAGAGACCCTGATCTCTTCTGGAGTGTCGAAGAGGCCTTCGGTCTGAAACAGTCTGAAAAAGATTGACTGATGCTGTCAGCCTCCGAGGACTCACCCAACAGCTTTATCAGGCTCTTGCCCAAGGCCGTCGCACCCGGATCATCTAGGAGAAGGTCCCTTAGTCTTCCGAGAGCAACTCTTCGAATATCTTCATCTGGCTTTTCATGCCTGGCTGATTTCAATCGAAGGCTGATTTTTGATGGGACCTCCATGTCTGAACAATCGCGTCCTCTTGAGGCAACCTCCGGGACAACCACCGAGTCAAATGTGTCTCGGGCTCCAACACCAGTTGGTAGGAGCATATTCTCAATTCTGGCGCTCAAATTATCTGCAGCACTTCCGACAGGGCCCAGAACCGCCACCAAGGAGTTGTGTTCCCAGGGTAGACGAGGCCGGTCAATTCGGGCTCTCTTATTGACAGTTGCAAGGGCCTCATACTTCCAGCGATGTTCAGATCCAGAAGGGTCCACAATTTCCAGCCGCTGAGAAATATTGTCAATAAGGACACCATCCTCAGAACAATTCTCGCAAACAGAAGTGTCATCAAGATTAGGCTCACCAGCTTCTGCAGGGTCACCGTCTTCGACACCAACCGGCCCTCCCGAAGGTGTACGCGGGTCGGGTTCGAAATCCCGGCTTGGATCTTCAGAGCTCGGGCCTGTTAGCCAGCGCTTCCGAATGCCCCGCACAGAAGGGATTTCCAAAGGCTGATCTCCTTCCATCATGAGCCGCCTGCACACACCCCCTTATTGCGGCCAGCAAACACATATGTCGAGTCAGCCAAAAAGATCAAATATTGCAACAACCATCCAGGTTGAAAAGGCTACTATTGCTGCGAGCGACACCCTCCCACCGCACCCTCTTGAGTAAAGCGGTGGCAACAAAGAGTATGAACAAGGTGTCGAGACACATGCAAGTCAAGGCATCTCAAAAGGACAGACACGGTTTCAGACATGGCTGTTCCAAACAAAAAAAACTGAAACCAAATGGTTCGAAAACTGGTTCGGGTGCAAAACTGTGCCTGTTGTTGTCCACGAAGGCTTCCCCCACCTAAAAAGACCCGGTGAAAGGGCTCACCGTGTTTGGCTTCATTCAGAGAGAAGGTTTTGTCCACAAGTGGAAATGTCCATCCCGGTCTCACTGCCCGGCTTCCCTGCGTCGAATTTGGGAAGTAAGGCAAAGGAGATGGGGAAGATCAAGCTGTTTCCTACGGCTGAGTATAGCAGCAAACAGCCCTCGGACCCCGTGGTGCCCCTGGTACCATGCACAGGTATCTTCCTCGGCCCCAGCAAGTCCGGCAAAACCGTGGCGCTGATCAGCATGATTCTGGAGCAATACCGCGGAGTCTTCGAGAAAATCTATATCTTCAGTCCGTCCATCAATATCGACGACGGCTGGATCCCCGTCAAGAAGTACATAGAGGAGGACCTGGGGGTTAATACCGAGCGGGAACAGGCCTACTACGACGAGTGGGACGAGGCAGCGCTGCGGGGCATCATCCAGAGGCAGCGCAAGATTACCGAGACATCCAAGAAGTTGGAGATGAAGAAGCTGTATCAGGTGCTTATAATCTGCGACGACTTCGCAGATAGCCCACAGCTCCACAAACCTCACGGCGCCCTGGATACGCTCTTCATCAGGGGTCGGCACCTGCAAATAAGCACCTGGGTGAGCTCCCAGAAGCTGAGGCTCATCAGCGCAGCCGTGCGGGTCAATCAGCAATTTCTCTGCTGCTGGAGGCTGCGCAACCAGCACGAGCTGGACGCCGTCATCGAAGAGCTGAGCGCCCTGTTGCTGAAGGACAAGCTGCACAGGATCTACGAGCAGGCGACTCGGGAGCCCTACAGCTTCCTCTTCGTCTACTACCTCAAGCCAAAGAATCCAATGTTCCACATGCGCTTCGAAGAGCGTTTTGCACTGGAAAGAGAAGCCGATGGGAGCGGCGCTCAGCTTCCTGGGCTAGAAGCTGTTCGCCAGCTCCACGCTGATAAACGCGAGGTGTGAAAACATCTCCTGCTGCACCTCCGTCGCAGCAGTCCAGCCACCCATCGTTCGCCGAACAGGTGGCTTCCTAAAGAAAAGAATGACGACGATCTACGTGGACAGGTGCAAGAGGGTAGCCGGCTCGGACAGCGACTTCGAGGTAGACCTGGGAGAGTCTCTGCACCTGCAGAGCGATGCCAGGCTGGCCGTCTATAAGATCAGAATCGCCGATAGCTTCCTCTCGACAGACCGGGGCCGCTACTTGTACTGGGTAGACGCCGCGCTCGGCACGCTGAATTGGGCGCTCCTTCCGGAAGGCGCCTACACGGGCTCCCGGCTGGCAGCCTGGATCAGCTCCAACTTCGCTACTGCTACCTATAGCGAGACCACGAACAGCCTCAGCGTAGCCTACGACGGCAACCGCCTCATTACGAGCTGCAGCAGCAGTTCCCAGACGCTGTGGACTACCCCACCTCGCCGGCCGCATCGCCGACCAAGCCCTTCAGCATCGACCACACGCTTGGCCCCAGCTTCGTCTCTGGCGGACAGCAGGTCTTTGAGTTCGTCCGCATGATGGCATACAGCGAGGTCTACCTCCGCTGCCCCCAGCTGGCCAACGCCAGCCGCGTGCTGGGCAATCTGGGGGACGACATCCTGTCCAAGATAACGCTGAAGAGCGGCGTGGGCACCATTGTGGAGACCGGCTCTGATGACGGG